GTAACTCGAATGTTTCTGGATTTCACTTTTATGAATCAGAAAATTATTCATAACAAAACGCAAGTACACGCTGCTTTCTCAGTGTTCCCACACAGGCCATTAGCTGATAAACTGGCCAAATTTAGATATGATTATCTTGGCTTCCAATTTACAGAACAACAGACGTTCAGCTGCTCATGTTGTCAAGCTACCCAAATAACCTTTTTTGCAATGTCAAAGTCCAGCAAGTAACACTGAAACGTAGAGGGCTGAACCAAACAGCTTCATTTGCCAGTAGGTGATGCCGTGGCTGTCTCCAGTCCCCTTCATCAGGCCTTTATACGTAATGAGCCAGAAGGGGACAGAGTTCAGAAGAAGTTCAGCTCACTGCTGATCATGTTTTCCTCACATTCTGGCAACTGCAAACACTCTGAAGGCCCTGTCATTGTAAAACCCTTCAATCTACTGGTCCAAGCTGGCCTCTTATATAAGCTATAACCTTTCGCACTGAAGATCAATTCTCTGTCTAAAGGAAACAGAAATGTGCTGGAGTAGTTAAGGAGGTTCCTTTGCAAATATACAGTGGTTTGCCAAGCACATTTAGCCATATTTTGCTGCATTGCAGCAAATTTACCATATCAATTGCAAGTTCGACGCAAATAAATAGTGTTTTCCTTTACACATTGATGACCTCAGAGGAAAGACTTGGCTCCTCTATTGATTAGAAAGTTTTGCTCCATTACACTGTGTTTTCATATTTTAAGTTTGTGTGTTTGACAAGCAGTGTCTCAAGGAAACAAGGCTGATATTTAACAGTGCAGTCAAGTCTCAAATCAGGGACTAATCTTCTAATATGGCTTATTTCTGCCTTGGGCCTGACCCAAAATGCTTATTGATATGCCCTCCTCGAAATCCAGATTTTTTTAAAAACCTCTTTGTCAAAGCAGACCTGTGCACAAAGGTTTCATCCCCTGATATAAATCTCCATTTGCACGGTGACAGAATGACTGAGCCCTTACATAACTATAACCTCTTTAAGTCCACTGTGAATGACAGTCGTGCCTTTGCCAACAGACAGGAATTTACTTGTTCTGAAACAAAAATGTGCGTGTGTGTGTGTGTAAGACTGCTAAAAGTTAAATAACAGGACCAGCATTTGTACCCCATGGAGGGGAAAAAGCAGCTGATCACTATTTGATTCTTTCTTATATTTATTAAATCTCCTTAATGTCTAGCATATTCTTAAATCTTTTACCTTTCTTAATGTTATGTCACTTACAACTAGGGTGCAACAAAGGCCCTCATACTTTTTCTCTTATTATTTTTCTTTGTAAACAAATACACAGTGGAAAAAAAAGGTCCTTAACCTTCAGAAAATGTTGAAGTTCAAACTCAAGAAGTCAGATGAAATATTATTAGCCAGTTTATTTTTAATAATGTTCGCAATGCTGTTATCAAAATGTATTAACAATAAATTTATTTATTAATTAATTTAAATATTTTAAATAGATACATTAATATATTATATAATAATAATCATATAGTAATTACATATATACACACACTGTATTAAAATTATATTTGTAATTTATAGATAAATAGAATTTAAAAATATAGCAGATTGAATGTCAATATCTTAATGTCAACATCAAACACATTACAAAAATTCTCTTTAATATTCCTCTATGTATTCTGCAATAATTATAATTTAATAGAAAACCTTATATAACCTATAATTGAATTTTTTAGATAACCTTGAGAAAAAAATATTCGAGTAATAAAACACTTGAAGTATTTTACCTTAAATGAAGTAGCTGCAGTTGACTTAAAAAAAGTAATGCAATATAAGACACCACAGGTCATGGCACCACTAAACAAAGCAGTGATGCTACAGAATTGTCACCATTATGTAAACATCACAATGGATGTAAAATAATAAGAATACCTTAGCATTTGACCAGTGGCGGCTCGTCGGGGGAGGCAGGGGAGGCACAGCTTCCCCATAATTTTGTGGTGAAAATGGGAGGAGGACGATTTAATGTTAATAAAATTCACAATTCATTTCAGTTCATGTCTCAGAATGTGTACATTTTGTTTGTAATTTCACAGTTGTAATACCATAACGTGAAAGCGCCACTTTTCTATCGCGAATGTGCCGAATCTGCTGATGTAATTGCAACCGCTAATGATAGAGAAGGGTAGGGGGAGGCCGGGGGAGAGGTGAGCTCTCGTGCCTCCGTTGGTAACAAATATTAGCCAATCACCATCAAGTGATCACTTTCAGCGCTGAGGAGTGTTGAGAAAAGAACCCTCGCAAGGGAGGCTAGCCTCCCTTCTGATATCAACCAATCATCAAAGAGACGTAAATTACGTGATATTAGTTTGAACGTCTGCCGCTGCGCTGATAATGTACCAAGTACTTATGATGAGTAGCGATATTGAATATTTGATTGCCAACAGATTTACCAAGCTGTCATTCAAACAGTATATATACAAATTTAAAAAAGGGAAAACAGCCTAAGCTGGATATAGGCTACAGCAGTCGGCTTAATTAAATGGCGCAACAGGCAGCTCTCTTTTAACACAGACTTATAAGAAGGGATGGATGTTTGCTTCAAGTGATAGGCCAGGTAAGTGAAATTATGCTATCTTGCTGTATGTATGTCGTTTTCTTTACGTTTTCTGACTAAAAGCAACCAAAAAGCCATTTTAAAGTGGTTAAGCAAATAATAATAATAATCGGCAGGGATCCCAGACCAATACAATTAGTGTGCCTCCTCTATTTTAAAACCCACAAGCCGCCACTGCATTTGACTGGAAGGAAAGACATTACGTATCTTTTTAGACTGGCTTAAGTTCTTCTTAAACATTAATTAACCCCATGTCCTGCAAGCACTTCTGTTGCTATGGACAACATGAGAATGTCTTTTTTCAGTGCTCTTTCTCTGTTAAAGGTGACAATATAAATGTTTCAGAAGGAAGGGTGTGACTAAGCCCTGTAATAAAGGCTGTAATTAAATTCACTGATTCCAACTCCAGTTCTGATACGGAAAACTAAATATAACCTTAATAGAGACCTGCAACTCTAATCAGCTTCTCACAAGCCTGAGTCACTGCATTGTAAGAGCAGTGTTTAATCCTTTATTTAAATGCTAAGCACTTTTGTTTGAGGCCACTGCTGTCTTACAGAATCATGCCACTCTCTATAAAATGCTGCTGAATGCTACAGGGGGGGAAAAATGCATTATACTACAAGTGACTGGATTCAGTTTTTTTTTTCTTTTTTCATACATTTGTCAATGTCTTACAATAAAAGGACAAATTTAGTCGGGAACCGACAAAAATGCATGGGACATTCTGTCACATTATGATTATCCTATGTTTTATGCAATTTAAACGAATAGTTCATAAAAAAATACTGACAATTTACTCACCCTCAGGCCATCTAAGATGTAGATAACATCATCTGAACAGATTTGGAGAAATTTAGCATTACATCACTTGCTCTGCAGTGAATGGGTGCCGTCAGAATGAGAGTCTAAACAGCTGATAAAAACATCTCAATAATCCACAAGTAATCCACACAACTTGAGTCCATCAATTAACGTTTTGTGAAGCGGAAAGCTGCATGTTTGTACGAAACGAATCCATCATTAAGGCATTTTAATTTCAGTAATCAGTAATACATATTATTATTATTATATTATCATACATAACACTTCCTCCAGTGTTTAAGTCCATCCCCTGTTGTCCACTCACATCAAAATAAACGGTTTTAGAACTTTTCATTTTTGGGTTAACTATTCATTTAATTCAGTTCACTTTAATTTTGTTTTTTTGACTACATCATTTACATCTAGATATTTAAAAAATATTTTATAACTTGATCTTGCAAGATTTGTATCAGCTCTTAACAGTGTTGGGGAAAGTTACTTTTAAAAGTAATGCATTACAATATTGCGTTACTCCATAAAAACTAATTACGGTACTTAGTTACTTTTTATGGAAAGTAATGCGTTATGTTAATTTTGCGTTACTTTTTAAATCTGGACAGGGCTTGCTTGTTTGTTTGTTTTTTTAAGTTATATTTTTGGCAAATATAAAAGCCTTTTCACACCAAAAGTGAAATGAATAAGCCTCAGGCTGAAAGGAAAGTAAATTTACGTCCATACAGTAGAATGCAGAAGAAGAAATTTCAACACAATTCAGCAATAAAAAAAGTGTTTGTCTAGAGTAATTTTTGCTTGTTAGTACGGTTGAACTGGATCATCGAAGGTCAGAAGCAAAGACATTGGTTAATAGAATGTGATTAAATACATAAAGGATATTTGTGTTGTTTAACATTTAATTATTGCAAGTTCATTTTGAGGAATACTGAATCTGTGTTTTTTTTTTGTGAGTGAGATGAATGAATGCATATTCATATTTATTTCAGAACTACAGTAACATCTTCTGATTTCTCTCAGCATGGGGACAGGAGAGCTGTCAGTTAATAAATTGGAAAAAAAAGTAACTTGCGTTACTTATTTGAAAAAGTAACTCGGATATTCTCTAGTAAAATAAAAAGTAATGCGTTACTTTACTAGTTACTTGAAAAAAGTAATCAGATTACGTAACTTGCGTTACTTGTAATGCGTTACCCCCAACACTGGCTCTTAAGGATTTACTCCTGTCTTAACTATTGCTACAGTTACAATCCTGAGGCTTGTGCTCAAGAAACTATGAAATTCTTTCAGCCTTGCCCTCGCATGACTTTAAAAAGGGGAACCAAATCCGGACGCTGTCTGCATTCAAACGTGAAGACATTTAAAAGATAAGTGTGGAGACATGTGTGATTGAAATTTGATTAGATCGTGCCATCCTTCTCCTGAGGAAAACAAGCCTGAGCTGTTTGGATCTCACAGTGGTAACTTCCCATTACGCTATTAGAAACATCGGTCATGAAAAATCTGCCATTGCAATCTGTTAATAACAGTGTTTGTGTTGCAATTGAAACCTCATGATGAAATTGTTTTACTCACCAGTAAAGGAGGCTGAAGAACAGCAGAAAAAGGCACACAGACACAGACCATCCACTTGCCTTGACTCCAAACCATTTCAGAATGTCGACTAACGGCTGCATGATGAGACCCGTCACTCCCACCGCTGGCTTTCTGCACACAGAGAGGAGACGCTGACAAATGAAATGCACTTGGAGTTCAATGTATGTTATCTACACACTGTAACATCACAATATAACTCATCAGGTCTTAATAAAACAAGATAAGTAAATTAAAATATAATATCAATAAAAGCTATTTATTAACCGTCTTTCGTGAAAAAAAGGTAATGCTTTGTAATAAGGTTCCATTTGTTAATATTAGTTCATTATTTAACTAATTAGTTAACATAAACTAACAATGAAAAATGCTTCTATACCATTTATTAAGCTAAGTTAATATTAATTTCAACATTTCAACTTATTATTAATTGACCTGAGCTAAGATGAACTAACAATGAACAGTTGTATTTTTAGTAAGTAATGTTAACACAGATAAATACTGTAGCAAATATATCGCTCATTTTTAATTAACGTTAGTTATTGCATTAACGGTAACTAATGGGACTAGCAGTGTGAGACCCTTATCCCACAAGACGATACGAGACACGAGACTGGGTTCACGAGAATGAGACGAGACGAGATTTTTAGACTTTTTAAAAGAAATCCTCAATGATGAAATATATGGGGGAAAATAGTATTTTATTCAACTGAAAAACACAAAATGCAAAAAAGTAGGTGCATTTTGAAATCACCTTGTACTCTATGAAATTAAACATCTATTTTAATTAATTAATTTAATTTAATTAATTGTTACCAAATTCTGTGTTTTAGCATGTCTAATTATTTGAATGCATAAAACAACTTAATTTATTATTATTTTTTCTTAAAGTAGCCTTATGAATTTTTTTCCCCTCAGAAATTCTGTGTTGTGTATTCACATTTTTCTGGTTATCATATGAAGGCATAAAACATTAATTTAATTGATCATTTATCTTTTTAATTATTGAAAATTAAGCAAACAAGATTTTTTGGCAAACAAAGGGGATTTACTATTAATATTAAAACATGGAAGAAATGTTTTGTGCGATTATTCCTTAAATTATATTTGTTTCATTTTAGTAGTAGTAGTAGTAGTAGGTTATGTACATTCTACTGAAAAATAGTTTTAGGCACAATGTCTTCCAATCAAACCGGACTTTTATTTTGACGGGTTGCCGTGAATACCTTTACAGTTCTGTGTATGAGATATGACGCTAGTTTTACTCAAATCAAATGCTAAAATGCTCATGAAGTGACTCTTAGAGCAGTTCTGGAGATGTTGTTCGTGTGTTTACGTCCTTATTTAGTGAGACGGCAGACGCTGAAATCACCACGAGTGTCACGCGCACTTCAGAATGTGTGTAGTAAACGAAACCACGCGTCTGCGCCATTCATTAACAGAGACAGGCCTAACATGCAGGATTCATATTTAAATCGACTTTTGCGGCCTAATGTTTACAGATACTAGTCCATATCGTGATTTGATTTAAGTGTAATGACCTACTTTTGATTCATTCAAAATTTGACAAATTCCGTGACATTCCGCGTTAAACTGTGAATTCTGTTTTTATGACTGGATAAAGACTACACTGCGTAATTTTCCCACTTATCATGCGGCCACTTGCCTGATGTGAACATAAAATATCTCACATACCACCACTTGTGAACTAGCCAGTGTAATGCAAATATATCTGAAAGGTCTCGCGAGACCAGTCAGATCCACGAGATCTCGTCACACCCCTAAATGGGACTTTATTGTAAAGTATTACCCAAAATAATGACAATTTTACATGCATCCATTAATTTTGGCACTTGATGATGAACACATAAAGTCACTCCAAAGAGAACACAAAAAGAAACACTTAAAATGGGATATATGTGAATTACGTTGCTAAAATGCATCGAGCAACATAGTTTATTGTAATAATGCACCAGTGGAATTTAAAATTTAAGAATTAAAAACCTAAACAAACAACTGAAAAACAACTTTAGTCTGACTTTTTTTCCCTACAGTTCAAATTAACTTTTGGTGCAAAAAAATTACAGTGTAAAACAAACAACAAATAAACAAAACAAGTTTTGTCGTAACAATACATCTAACTAGTGAAAAAAAAATGGGCAAAGAAATCCCATAGACTTACAATATATTGAAAAAGTGACCCATGCAATATCTAAAGGAAAGGAAAAATCAATTTAAACAGAATGATATCCTTCATGAGGATCTAAACACTACCCTGTAACACTTGATCCATTCACCTCACCCACATTATTAGTGTTTAAAGGAGTCATATGCTGCTAAAAAGAACATGATTTTGTGTATTTGGTGTAATGAAATGTGTTTATGCGGTTTAAAGTAAAAAAAACACATTATTTTCCACATACTCTACATTATTGTTTCTCCTCTATGCCCCGCCTTTTTGAAATGCGTTGATTTTTACAAAGCTCATCGGTCTGAAAAAGCGAGGTGTGCTGTGATTGGCCAGCTATCCAGTGCGTTGTGATTGGCCGAATACCTCAAGCGTGTGACGGAAATGTTACGCCCCTCACCATACTGTTGATGCCTTGTCCGGCCGGGGCGACGAGATAAAAACATGAAAACCCATTATAAACATTACTCTACCAGGATCAGTAAACAGTCCTCCATTAAATGCGCTGCACACATCTGGATATTTGTAACAGTCAGCTGTCTGTTATATTATCAATAACTGTTAGACCAATAGTCTGAGATCATGTAAGGACATCAACCTGTGTGCAAAAGGGCCAATCACAATTTCACAATAATGCCAGATAAACTTTTAACAGACAGGCTAATGTGACACTATGCATGATTCTCAGTGATTCTTATACTTGAATTCATAAAGCAGAATGTGAGTTTCGACAAATATTACATGCTTACTTGTTTATAAAGTAAAGATCAGAGCTATAAATAAATAATAATCACCTCAAAGTATATATTAACATAAAGTGAAAAGTATGTCACATAATCAACCAAACAAACCAATCAATAATAATGTAAACAAATAAACAAACACATTATTTCCATTTTATTTCATTTATTTTCAAATATGACTTCTTGTAAGTCATTCTACAACAATTCGATTTGGTAATTAATTAATTCTGGTACATCTGTGTACACTATGTAATCGTGAAACTCCTACGAAATTCAAGGTAAAACTGTTTAGAATTTACCGACAACATTGTGTTACAGTTTTACCAACAGAAATATGAAGAATAAGTTCAATACTTTCGATGCACTCTCTTGTGTCACCTTCCCCCTATCGTTTTGTAATAGAATCCGTACGACAGATTACGTAATAAAATGACCGAGCAGCGAAAATGCACTCTGCTAATAATGTTTGCTGTTGCTTGAGTTGCTAAATCTGGGTTACAGTGTTATGAAAGGTTTAGATGATCACGATAGTAAATGATATAAGCAATGCGCTTACCCCGTGTTTGACAACAACCGCTTGCAACGACACTCTGAGGCGTTCTGGAAAATGTAGTTTTTATGCGGCTGAAAAAAAAAATTCCCCACGCAATGCTTTGTGGTACTTGTAGTTTACAATGATGGCTAGGCGACCACACACAATAAATGTTCTTTATTTGAATACAGTAATAACATAATTATAACATGAATTATTTTATAGCGTTTTATTTAATGTATTTTTTAAAATATACAGTTAAAGTTTATATGTTTGCTACATATATTCCTTGGTTTTCCTGAATTATAAAACATTACTTTATGTAGAAACGGTGCATGAACACATGAAGATCACTATTTTAATATGTTTAGTACTGGATAACATTACTCACAGCTGGATAAATCGCTGTAATCCCTTTTTATTTAATTTTTGTTTTATATAAAATTATATATATATATATTTTTACTTTATACAAAATTAACAATTAACAAACAGTGTTACAGTCTAATCAAATTAATTTATGAAATGCCCAATGTATTAAAAAGGGATATCTAATTCCATAAACATTGAAAGTAGTTGCAAGAGCAAATAAAGGTAGGCTATAAGAGATTCTGGCTCAATCTCTGTAAATGTGATGGACTTCATCCTGTGCAAATCCAGTGAAGTCACTGAGCAGCCACACAATTCATAGTCGACAGAAACATCCAACCTGTGACAAAAAAAACAATAGATACGATCGATATTTGAATGCAATAATAAAATCGTACCGTTTTTTAAATCAACGTTATTGTCACTATAATAAATAATACAAATGGAGAAAGATTGGAACGCTAGTATCTTTCAACTTTAAAATATTCCTTATGATTTATTTATTATTGTATGTAGTGTAAAAACTCAAATGTTCTGGGCATGGCATTATGGGAATACTAGTATTTTTGTCATTCCATAATAGTAATCTTTGAAATACCTTGGATACATAAACCATATTGTTCCATTAATTAAGTGTATATTAAAGTACCACTATACTACCATCATTATACCATGGTATCATCGCAGTAAGGGGAGCGATAAATGTAATATCAAAAGTACTTTGACAGAACTAGCTGTTTTCAGCTCAGTGCTGAGCCCGATCGAGTAGATCGTCGTTTGATTTAAAGGCCCTGTTCAACCTGATCGACCGCCTCGTCGTTTGATTACAACGCAAAGTCGCTCCGTTCGCTCGCTCGTTCCTCTCATTGCAACTTTTGCAGGCACTCACTCCACAGACATGATCACCAGCTGAAGCCAAGACCTGCAATTTGGCTCTTTTTAGAGCCAAAACACTATCGATACCCGTGGAGTTAAGTTGCAGACATCCTTTTTTCCCCTCACGCACCCCGGGCCGATCTTCAAATTGAAATTCTGGATGTGATTTTTCATTCTTTAGTCCTTCTTCTCTCCCTGATGAACTGGGTTAGTAATGCAGGAGACCGCAGCGATTCTGTCCGCCGCTCAAGATGGCAGATTTTTATTGAGTTGTGAACAGTGCTGTCGCTTCATTTTTTGCCATGAATAACAGAAACCCTTGCACCGATGGCCCCTGTATACGAAGGTAAGATCTAGCCTTACGAGGGTGAAATTAATGTCAGACCTGCACATAATTGACTAACATTATTCACTCTCTCCGCAGAGAGACCGTCGGGTTACCAATCTGTTACTTGTGTCGAGAGAGGATACATTTGTTAAATTAGTATTATTTATGAAATCTTAGATTGATATGCTATCAGTAAGTTGTTGAATTCGTCCAGGGTTTTTTGTGGATTTTGACCGAAAGGTATTAGAAACCGCCAACCACCCTGTTTCATTGTGTACTGCTGTCTCTTCATTTAATGTTTATTCTTATCATTACAAAATATCACAGTTTTATAATCGATTGCTTTGTATTCTGCATGCTCATATCATATATAATATATTATATGGATCTATTTAGCTAATATACGAAACGAAAGTGGATATGAAGCATACAGGCAGTATGTATACAGATAAGGCATGATTGTTAAATTAGTAGTTACTTCTTGGATTTGCACTTACTAATTTCTCGTTTCACTGTTATGTGACTTGTTGTTCTATTGATGCTGTAGTGTACAATGTATGTTGTAATGGTTTGGCGTGATTTAGACTAACTAATACACACTGCAGTGTTATGGTGACTAATCATTGTGCAGGAATGCTTTATGGAGAATGAAAGGGAACGTCCAGTTTTTACTTTCTTAGCATTTTTTTGTTCTGCGTGAGGAATGAAATTCATCAACAGTCTGAAAAGCTGCTTTTGTTCTCCAGAGAGTAGGCTATCCCGAGGTCACTACAGGGGGTTAGTTCACCCCAAAAGGAATTCTGTCATCATTTGCTTACCTAAACCTCTTTGACTTTAATTGTTTTTTTGTCTGTGGCGATTTTGGACAGAATGTTAGTGACTGGCGGCCTTAGTCACTTTCACTGTATGCAATAAAAGACGAAATGAAAGTGAATGGTGATTGAGATCTTTCTAGCCACACAGGTTTGGGATGACATGAGGGTGTGTAAATGATGACGGATTTTTGGATGAACTATCTCTTTATGGCTGTGTCTTGAAACCATATGCTGCCTATTTAGACTGCATACTTGGGCATCATAGGTGCATATGCAGCTTTTTGGGGCACTAGATGTGCCTTCAGTGCTTAAAAATATAGGTAGCTCATTAGGTTTTCAGACACAGCCTTAGTTGTGGTTGAGTTTGAGGATTGAGGTTGAATCATATTCCGGTTGGTTTTAGTTCATAATTTGGACAAAGACAAAGCAATTCATGTGCCCCAAAAATCCCAGAGGTGCCATGCCAACCTCAGATTGCATTTACCTTTTTCAAATTTTTCAGTATTTCTAATGGATTACCCATGCTCCCTCTGCTGGTGATAGCAACTCACACCCTTTTTTTGGTTTTTAATTAAATATTTTTAAGATTATTTGCTCAAAATGAATGCGCTATACTTTTTAATGTTTGCCTGTTATGAACTATTAACCTAAAGCAAGTGGGAATCATGCAAACTTTTACTCTTAGTTAATTAGATGATCTTACGTAACACGCCCATGGATGCTGCAGATGGATGGGTGCTAGATAGATTCATCTTGTGGCACTTGTAACATTTGAAGACCCTTAAGGTAACCATATGGGACATCTAAAGACCCACTTGGTTTAGCCTTCATGTTACTTTAGAGGTTTGCTCTGGATGTGTAAATGGCTTCTCCTATGGGGACGTTCACCGTGATCCCAAACAAATCCAAGTGAGCTTATTTAAGAAACAATATGTGGGACTTTAGCCAAATTGTTTGCTCAAACAGTAATGCTCATAAGCTGTAAAGAGAGATTTTTCATTTGGAAGTAGTTAATGAAATAGAGATAACATTGTTCTGGTGGTTTCTCTTTCTCTGCTCTTGCTTATTATAGATGCGTGTGCTCAGAATGGAAATGTAGGGCAGCATCACACATTGACTTAACTGTCTAAATGTCTTGTGTGATATTTATGAATGTAATTATGTCGTTTTTACACTTCAGATGGCTGGTTATGCAGAAATGTCGTTCTTTTGCTGTTTATCTCTCTTTGTTTCAATTGTAGAGTTGTTTTCTTTGAGTTACAAAAGCTGGAAATTCTAATATGGTGATATTGATATATCATTACCTAACGAATGCCTAATAATTGGTTCATTTGTTGCTTTTGTGGTTTGAGCAGCCAGTCCAATGTAATGCCAATCTGTGAGTGTATGTGAACATGCATTAAAACTAGATTAAATGTCTGGTCATGCTTGTTTAGCATTTATTTACGGACTCCTCTGCTCATCTCATGGCTGTCAGATGCGTGTATTGTGTCACTAAGGCACATGCGCGCTGTGTTGAGCTCTTTTCAAAAGCAGGAGTAAAAGACCTTTCAGTTTGTGAATAAATATCTGTTACTGCTCCAGTTTAGGGTACAGACTGTCCGTGGAGACGTTTGTAATGCCAGTCCATAGTGAGAGCTCTTTGTTGTTGCCTTTTCCCCTGCACTGATGTGTCTTTGTGGAGCGCTGTGGTGCAGGCCTAATGCTCTGGCTCAATCCCATACGGAAGAGTAATCTGGGGCCAGAGGAGCCTTGGCTCCTGGCCTCGTAACCCACACTGACATGTTGATAAATGTCTGATGTGAGGACCAGGACTACCTGTCTCTACGGCAGAAGGAAGCGAAGGTTTAGCTTTGGAATTCTGGAGATGGAAAGACACCTTGAGTCAGACCTGTTTTTTCTCTTTATATTTAGGGGTCATGTGTGGTGATTATTAATATTATTTGCAGTATGCTTGATCTTTGAAGGAATAGTTCAATGAAAATGAAAATTCTCTTATTATTTATTCAAAGTCATGCTGTTGCGAGACTTTTTTTTTCTTTTCTTCCTGGGACGGTAAAGGAAATGTTTCACAGAATTTCCAAGCTCCTCTTTTCCATGAAACATAAATATACCATACTGTTGAAAAGTTTAAGTTCAGTAAATTAACATTTTTATTTAGCAAGGATGCATTAAATTGATAAAAACAACAGACAACATTTCAAATTAATTTTATTTTGAACTTCATTAAAGCACCCTGAAAAAGATGTATCACACTTTCTACAAAAATACATTAAGAAGCTCAACTGTTTTAATAATATCAACATTGATATTAATAATAAGAAATGCTTCTTGATCAGCAGATTAGCATATTAGAATGATTTCTGAAGGATCATGTGACACTGAAGACTGGAGTATGAAGAATGTCTGCTGGAAATTCAGCTTTGCCATCACAGGAATAAATAATATTTTAAAATCTAAAATAGAAAATTGTTATTTTAAAGTGTAATAATTTTATACGTATATTTATAATAATTATTCCCCCCCCCCCTGTATTTTTAATCAAATAAATGCAGCCTTGGTGAGCTTCAAAAAAAAAAAATCTTATTAACCCCAAACTTTTGTATGGTAGTCTATAAACAGAAACTGTTCTCTCCTGAAATGACCTTATCTAAAATAAAAGCACCATCAAATTGGTCCACATGACTTCTGAG